GTGTCTGTGTGTGTGTCCAGTGATAAACTGGTGACACCTCCTTGCACCCATTGCTTTCTGGGATAGGCTCCTGCTCTCCCATGACCACGAATTAGATGAAACAACTAGAAAATAGATGGGTTTAGAGAGGAAAGTTTAACAAAAAAGCTTTTTTTTACTTCCCATTTTGATGTAGTGGATGTTTTGATTACAGTACTCTTCTTCTTTTGGAGTGCACTTTGTTTTTTTCACAAGACTCAAGGAAAGACTTAGGTTCACTGGTTAAACAAGAAATCAGCACTGAATTAGTATCACTCTAATAGTGAGAAAAGAGTTGAAAAATGAGTCTAGGATCTCTGCTTTTGCTGTACTATCATTACTGAATGTGCAATTCTGCAGCTATTTAGAGTCTAAAATAGCTGTAAAATTTCAAAATTTCATGCTCTTGAGCTGCCATTCCTTATTATTAGGGCAGATTGGAAGATTTTTTCAGTAATCCCCAGCAGAAGATAAATGGATTCCCATTAAGCAATTTCATGTTTTTCTCAGTCAGCAAGTAAGTCAGATGTTTCTAAACTGTTTAGATTTTCTAAATGGAATACAGATCTCAGGATTTTATGTTCTTGTTAAGTTTAGTGTGACACCAGTTACTGTAAATTCTACAAAATGCAATTTGTTTGAATTTTAATCCATACAAAAATGCTTAGAAAGTACAGAAACGTGAGCCACAACCACGTTTTTGCCACAGGCAGGTTAGCACATTACCTAGTTCAGCAAAAGAATGTCTTGTTTTTGCCTCTTTCACACACACTGATGTTGGGGTTTATACATGAATTTGCACACAGAATACTCAAAAAGAGGTACGTTATAAACCATTAATAAGGATTTGTAGATGGCAACTGCTAGATTGTCTTTTTACATCAAGAGTACAGTTCCTTGAAAAACGTAACCTTAGATGTAGCTTATTCGGCCTCCAGTCAGCATAGTGTGAAACGTGTTAATATCTGGGAATACATCTATATTGAAAGGCCAATGGCACAGTGATACTGTACACCATGAATCAGTAATTCTGCACCACAACAATATGAGATGACTCCACGAGTGTGCAGCTAAAAAATCCTTTGACACATATAGGACATCAAGTTTTGTGGCATGAACAATAATAATTTTAATTATCTTTACTTGATTTTGAGTGTTTGGTCGCTCTTAAATGTACGGCTCTGGGTTTTTAGCTAGTATTTTCAGGATATGAACAAAATTCAATTTTACAATTCACTTACAGTTGCCAACAATAAAATATAAAAATCATGTAGGATACTGTAACAGAAAGGAAATGCATTTCACTTTATAATACCATGTATTAATCTTTAGATAAACAAATTGGAGGCAGAAAAATAAATAAAAAGATTCACCATGGGCCAGCTTAACCATTTAAATCAAACAGCATGAAATGCTTTTTATTGCAGAATAAAAAAATAATAGTGGACTTTTGCTTGGGAAAGTTCAGTATATGTCTTAAATCTACAGACCTGAGATAGGATTTGAACTGTGCTTAAATTGATAACTGAATTCAGGAATTACTCCTTCGATTAGATGAAAACTGATCATTACCTGTGAGCACTAAATATGAGATATTGATCAGGAGTTCATTATTCCTACAAACGTGACCAGCTGAACAATATTTCAGCATAATTTCATGTTTGATTCATGGAGGACAATATCATACATTGACTAAGCAAAGGCAAAAACTGGCAGTATTTTCTTCTCAGCAAAGTCAAACATGCTCAAATTCTTATTGCACCGTACGTCTACCATAGCTTTTGGCTTATTTCAGGAATCATGTAGAAGTGAAAAAGGATAAAAAGCATCCATCCATTTTCTGACTGCTTCTTCCAAATCAGTTATGGGGGAGTTAGAGCCGATCCTGACTAGAATGCCTGCAAAACAGGGTACACCCTGGTTGGGTCTATTTACTCCAGGGACAGATTAGCTTACCCGTGTGGTTTTGGACTGTTTGAGGAAACCTACATGAACATGAGGAGAAAGTATAAATTCCACACAGCACTTCAGGTCCGGAACTGAGCACAGGGCCCCATCACTGTGAGCAGGAATGCTAACCAAGCTGCCACATCACCCTGCAACCCACTGAAATCTAAGCAGGGGTGGGCCTGGCCAGTACCTGGATGGGAGACCTCCTGGGAAAAACTAAGGCTGCTGCTGGAAGAGGTGTTAGTGGGGTCAGCAGGGGGTGCTCACCCTCCAGTCTGTGTGGATCCTAATGCCCCAGTATAGTGACGGGGACACTGTACTGTAAAAAGGTGACGTCTTTCAGATGAGACGTTAAACCAAAGTCCTGACTCTCTGCAGTAATTAGAAATCCCAGGACATTTCCCGAAAGGAGAAGGGGTGTGACCCCAGTGTCCTGGTCAAATTTCCCATTGACTCTTACCAATCAATGGGAAAGCCTCCTAATAATCCCCATCTATGAACTGGCTTCATTACTCTGCTATCCTCCCCACTGTTAGCTGGTGTGTGGTGAGTGTTCTGGCGCACTATGGCTGCCGTCCCATCATCCAAGTGGGGGCTGCACATTGGCGATGGTGGAGGGGAGTCCCCATTACCTGTAAAGCTCTTTGATTGGAGTGTCCAGAAGTGTAGGGAATTATTATTATTAACCATTGTGCCGCCAAGCTGCCCCCTCACAAAACCATGACAATCATCAGCAGGATTCATCACCAATGCAGAGTGAGTACAGCTGAGTGCTACAGTTGGTTACCTGGAAGCGTCGAGCTTCTGCTGCTCCAACAGCCGCCGCTGAACCTCCCAGCTCGACTTCTCCTCCTCAAACTGACGCCGCTTCTCCTCCAGCTCCTTGTGTTGAGCTTCCAGGTTCTTCTTCATCTGTTCATGGTGGCGCTGGAGCTACAGAGGAGACAAGTAGAAGATGAGTGTTCTGACTTCCTATTTAAACTACTGCACTTATAACTGCAATACATTTTCAGTTATCAGGATTTATTTTCTATCAAATATAATGTTGCTTTTTTCTAACAAAGTAGAATCATTACGCTAATTAACATTCATCATCCACAGGGTAGATTGGCAGATCTACTGTAAAACCCACAGCCTTATATAGTGTCTCTACTAAGAGAAGCTTGCACATTTGTGAAACCCACCTTACACTAGTGCCAGATGCGGTCTTCTGCGATTGTGTTGCTTTTCTCTTGTACGGCCTGGGCAATCACGTGCCTCTTCACTAGTCTTTGAGCTCTAGATGCTCAAAATCTTAATGGTGAGTGGGGTGTGCACAATGCAACTCTCATATTCCCAGAAGAAAAGCTGTTACATGAGCAGCATTCGCCAACGTCTGTTCATCTGAAATGTCTTCTCACGGAGTTACAGAAAAGGAAGCAAGTGATGTCCCAGGGCTTGATCAGTGTAACTCCATGCTGTCATATTGCCATGAATACCTCGAAAGTAGAGTTCTGTACAACTGGAAAGTAATTGAAACTACTGGTTGGGAGCTGGCTTTATCCAACTATCAGAAGTCTTTACCCACCTTGGACTTTCTCACAAATTATTCTTACAATATTAAATATTAAAATTGTATTAAGTTGGGATTTTTGTGCCATTGATCAACACTAAACACTATTGCCAAAGAGCACAATTCTACAAATTCCCTTAATTATAACAGAATATAACTGATTGCATAAGTATTCACCCTATTTGCAATGACGCACCTAAAAAGTCTCTGGTGCCAACAAACTGACTTTAGAAGTCACAAGTGTGAATGCATTATGATTCCATATTGTAACACAAAACATGAGAAAGTCCAAGGTGGATTTAGCAACGGTCACTAAGAATCTGACAGCACTTTCAGCTCCATTTTTTTGAGCAATAGCTTTCAATTTTATATGGACTTTATCTCAAAACAAAATTAAAATTTCAAAGACTTAAATCCACTAACAATATGTTGTATATTGCACACATACAAAACTTGAACAGTAGCTAAATTGACAGAGAAATGTGCCAGGAGAGCCGGATGTTGAAGAGAGTGCACTACTGAGCTACTTTCATCTAGGCGTTGTTATAAAAAGGGATAGAGACACGTGGAGTGGTTTGCATCAAGAGCTATGACCAAGGATTGTGGATTTTTCCTCAAAGTTAAGTACCATCCTGGAGCTGTAGGATAGAGGAAATTAAGCCTTTATCTTCCTCAGCAGAATTATTTTTCATTAGGGCACCAAACCCAGATCTCTATTAATATTGCGGAAATGAACTTTGAATCTAAATGACAATATTTCAATAACTGTTATTTTAATTACAATAGCATCCCTGCTGGAGATAACGACAAGCTAGAAATGCACAGTAGGTGGGATTTGTTGCATTTTTAAACTATACAATAAATGGTATACAGATTTGGCAAGACAAATAAGCTGGTTTTCTTTTGCAATGACTTGTTGCTGAGCATAAGTATAATAACCAATTACAATTATACACTTAATTCATCCTTCAGTATATTCCTTTAAGCCGTTTCTGCTTTGTAAAACTTACTCAAAAGCCATTTCTTAAGAATAACTTCTTGAAAAACAGACTGTGAAGAAATGAATGTGCAACTAACCATAATTGATTATGACCAGTATGGGCTTACACAGAAGAAAATTAATTTATTCTGTATAGTCATTACTATTCTGTTATCTGCAATTTTCCAAAATGTCATTCAAGCGATAAATAGGAGATAGAATAACCAATTTAATTAACACAGTAATTTGGCAAATAATTAAGAATGGAAATAACACCATTTTTATTCAGTTACCATCCACAGCCATCATCCAGCACAAATCGTACTTATAATGTATGCTATTAACTTTATTTCTTAAGCAATGGCCGATGAACTTTAAATTTGCATATTCTTTAATACCATTTATTTGATAACATTTCTGATTTCAAAACTATAATTATCCTAGTAACACTGCCAGTATTAAGCATTCAATAATTAAATGACTTGCAAGACTACAATAAAGTTGAATAAATGGCATTTATTGGCATCTTAATTTCCAAGGGAACACTGCAGATGCAATGTTGTACAGCTTGATCCACAAACATGCTGAAAGGCTTTGCCATTTTCATTAACTGAAAAAAACAATTTAAAAATGCATTTCAGAATGGACATGCTAGCAATATGGTGGAGGGGGGGATTCTTTACATTAAAAGCCCTTTGTAGATATTGATTACAATGGAAATTTTCTAGATGAACTATTTCCATTATATTACTTCCTTTCATTAAACCAAAATTGTCCGTGGAGAGCAATCTCAAAACCGCGTTCTTATAAAGTATTTAAAAGCAATTTTAAAACCAAACCAAAACCTGAACCCTGAAGAGATCAACAGAACAATTTTTTTTAAAAGGTTAGTGTTTTATGAAAGCATCAGTACTAAGCAGTTAAACTTATATGCAGAAGTTCACTTGCCAGTAAAAGAATATCCAATTGCTGTAAGTTAATTATAAAAAACTCTTCCCTGATAATAAATCACCACATATTAAGCATAAAAAGTAGTTAAATGTAGATTATCTTTAGGTTTAGCATTGTGTAACATTCAATTTACCTGGAACTTTAAAAATGTTCATAAATGTAGATATGACTAAAAACATATATATAGAAAAACAAACAAAAGAGGAAAGTTCCCTGGAAAGTAAGTGACTACAAAGACTGCCTGCTTGTTCTAAATTAGCAAATTGAATGTTATGCATGCCACAATTAAATGTACCTCTTCACAATTCAAAAGCAGTCTAAGTTACAGGCTGGGAGCTGTTGAAGTGATCGTTCAAAACCGTGGAGTGTCAAAACCTCTTACATTTTCTATGCAACGTGCGTTTTCAGATATACAGCCAAAAGCAATACTGTACGAAAGGATAAAATAGTGACATATTCATAAAAATGACCTATATCGTCCCACTTTGTCACCTTGGTGTAGAGTTTGCCAGTTACCGCAAAATAAGTCCCTTAAGCAGTTATTTTAGGGAGGCTTCCCTACACAGTAAAACGTTAACCATACTTTTCTTTCAAACTTAAAATGACACCGATCAAAAGATAGCGAAACAAATAAATGGATTTCTGAAACAAGCACAAAAATTGGAAGGCACGGTTAAAAAAAAGCTTATATTACTCTACATTGTGCTGCTTTAAAAACTATAAATAAAATTTCATATTCGTTTAGATACAGCTAGAACCCTTAAATGAATAAAATCTCACTGGAAAGTAGGAAACAGCTTTCTGGATCACTAGTATGTTTTACCACATAGTGTCATGTTTTCAGTGGGTAGTGATAATACTGCTATTATATCTGTAAGAAATATAAACCTGCTTCTTTACCTAATCTTACAACAAACACAGCTCGGATACATAAGTTAATGTCATGTAAATCCATTAAAAACACATGCCCTTGATCATTGGCTGCCAGCCTTGCTTGTAGCTTTCTTTTTATTCAGCTTCAATCAATCTATGCTTTATGACTAATACAGGTTATACATTGTATAGCATTAAAATAACTTGTGAAATAAAGACGAGTGCACTTGAAAAGAAACTGCACTGCGGACTTAAAAGCGATTCAGATAATCTCTCATTTCACATTCATGCAATTTGGCTGAAGGATTAGAAGAATACTGCAAGCATGTATTGTAATATTAATAGACAAAGCTGAAGAGAGTTACAGTGGAGTAAAAGGTGACCAGCACTAGGTCAGACTTTGAAAACATATTTAAATTTTGGCCCAATCCAATGTGAACCTTATGTCTTTCACATTCGGTCTTTTGCAGCATTTGCAGTTTATTCTATCAAAATATACATCAATGGGTGTGTAACACCTCATTGTACAAGGATGTATTTTTTTTCTGCCACGAACCGACAACCAGGTGATGCAATCTACTGAGCCCAGCAATACAGGGATGAGCTCAGGATGATCTCAGCATAGCTGTGGTGTAACGATAAAGGGAACAAATGCCATCCAATTTTTTTCCGCACAGACCTAGGTAAAAACTGTGCCATCATCACAATGGCCTCAGCCAAGATCAGAGCTGTTCTCGAATTGACAATCCCTCAGACACAAAGTATAACACTAAGACGTTTTCAAATATTTCTCCTTTAACAATGTTTTAGATTTATGGCTTTATCTACCAACAGGATTCCAGATCAAAAACCCTCAGAACACTAAGTTGAATTGCTTGTCCTTATATAAAAAAAAAAGTTCAATGCTTTATTCATTGCACATATTATTGAGTTTTAAAGAGGTTAATTGTCCAGCAGGAAGATTTGTTCTCTGCTAAATTCTGGTAGTAAACACTCTGTTTTTTCTCCTTTAAGTCGACTGCTTTATCAGCCCAGTCAACATCCTCAGGTGGGTCTATAGCAGGAGTCTGGCTGCCACATTCGAAGATCAACTAAAACCTGGTTTAGCTTCTGCATCCACAAATTACGTTCGTCTTTGGTGTCAGCACTTAGCCAATTCCTGTATTAAAAAGAAAAATATTCTATGAAATACCTTCAGTATCCACAGTTAAAAATAGAATATAAAAATGTGTAAAACATTTAAAATATCTCATTGGGACTAAACATTGTTTACACTAATGGTCGTCAATGGCTGTAAACATGCATATCTACCAGATGTTTGTGTTCTGGAGTCTAGCTTTATAATTCAACTTTCAATTTCTGAATGTACACATCCTTCTGAGGTACACTTTATCTACCTAATTTACATTTGAGGTTTAAGACATCATTTCTCATATGGCAATAGCTTAATTTTTCAAGTAGCTACTTAAGGTCTTACATCAAACCACAAATCCATACTGCTAATTGCCTTACTTGGTAACACACAGCGTATTCCTGCACTGGCTAACCAGAGTCTCTTTGTCTTCTTCTCTCTGAGGTCTGACGGTGATTAATTCAAAGGTATTGGGTCGAGCACAGAATTCCCGGTTCGCAGGTTCAATCTTCCTGCTGGTGCAATTCGCTAGGTTTATTCGACCAATGGGATTCTGAAAAGAGATACAGGAAACCAGTATTATTTAATCCCCCCTCTTCTCCTTGTGAGAAATGTATACATATGCATGAAAAACTACCAAAAATCACAGGTGCTCCCTAAGTAAACATACCAAATAAAGGGCACAACCTAACAGTGAGACCTGTACAGACATCAGCAGTTTGAGTCTGGGCTATGTCCTTAGCCACCAGTGACTGGCATTCCCCCATTAGTTGTGCACAAGGCTCACTTGGTTTGGGTGATACAATCCTCTTCTAATAGAAACTAACTGTGCCCTAAAGCAGTGCTTCGGATACAGTGTCAAAAATGACATTTTTGTGTCAGACGAGAGCACTCACAGTCCTCATTTCACCTGTGCCAGCAATGTCACAGCAGGATCAGGGATGAATTACCAATGGCAGTGTGAAAGGATTTTTTTAAAAACCTGTCAATTCCAGGTGACAACCAGACAGTAAAACCACAAGCTGAATCACCAGAAGAGGCTTTTTTCACTTCACATTTAAGAAATAAAACAAACCTTGCGCTTCTCATCATCTGGGTATGTCCAATAAGAAATGCAATAGCCGGAGAGAACACACCATCTTCTGTGCCAAGCCCCAAAGCCACTCACATCTTCAAACATTGTCTGCAAGAGTAAGATAGTGAAGGTTCACATCTGTACTACATAGATATTAAAATTTGCCATTCTTTCTGTTTGAGAGACACTGCACTGAAACTTTCAGGCTGATGCAGTGATGCATTTTACTCATTAGGAAGCAGAGGCCACCTAGTGGTATTTAACCTCCATAAAAAGGCGAATTAACCATTTCCTGCAAGAAATGAATATTTACTTACAATATCTTGGTTTAAAAGCCAGTTAATACTATAAGTACACATGACTGATCACTCAGGTGATATTTAAAGACAAGCAATATAAAGCACCAGACAAGCTTTCTTTTCAAAGAATGTAGACCAAATTTTATAAGTTATTTCTATTAATCCACTAGATCCTATAATATACTTTATTCTGTACACTGAGGAAGACTAAGTAAACACATCCTGGACAAAGGACTGAACTTACCAAAAACCCTCTTTCTTCGATCGATGATCCCACCTGACATTGAAGTTTTAAGTAAATATGACCTTCCAGAGGGCACAAAAATGGCACCTGAAAGTAGCAAAAACCTTGGTTCACATATAACAAAGAAAATTACAACTGGAATCAAATTCTAAGTGAATTTTTGATGTCTGGAAATACGAACGAGGGCTTGTCAGTCAATTCTGATGAGTAAAAAACGTTTTACAATAATCTAATCTTTTTTGGGTCCATTTCCCATAAATGTGGGTCTAATTCCCACCTTTTCTAAAGAATAAAAAACTTTCAAACTATTACTCATAGGATCTTAAATTACAACCAAATAGAATGTTGTAATCAATTAGTAAACAACTGGTAAATGATGTTAAAACCAACTGATTTTACATATACGAGTAGAAATTAAGCATGAAAGAGAGGCAAAGATACAGCAGAGAAAACTAAATGTACAAGCAAAGCAAGCATAGCAACCTTGTACTGAAACATATCACCGAGAAGTTGCTTGTCGTTCCCTTCATATTTCATCTACAAAAAAAGAAATTGATATCTAAATATATGCATTGCTAACAATTAACAGAAGCGATTCCGGAGGCACTAGATTTGGCAGTGAAAGCAGCGTTAAAAGACATGCAGCTCTATAAGTTAATACTGAAAAGAAAAGACTTTGTGCTCCCCAACCCCCCACCAACATACCCATGAATTTATTTTTAGATATTTCAATGTGACTCAGCTTCTACCATAGCCTAACAGACCTTGGAGAAAAAACGCCTGTAGAGAAATCTATTTTGAAGTCCTAGAACACCAATTTATGACCAAGTAGATTTTATAAATTTGTACTACATTTCTGGAAATGTCTTTGGACAAGACTTACTTTGTATATTGCATATATTAAGTATAAAGTTTATAAAAAACATTTTAGAGAAGATCCCCCATTATTTCAAATCATTAATTTATCAATAAAACGAGGCTGCCATTACTTAGAGCAAAGACCTTGATCACTGCTTTTACAGGTACAGACCAAGGCAGAACCAGCTTAGGACAACCGTGAACACTTATTCATTCTTCTCATTGCCTTAATACACATTGAAAGGTAAGTCAACCAGGCAAAGAAGGTACACAACCCAAAACTGAACATTTCTATAAATTCGAAAACTAAAAACATCTAGGTCAGGTATGAATCTGGATCCATGTCAATAAAGTCTAGTCCACAAACACATTAGCTGTAATGACAAATAAGTGGTCTACCTTATCAAGGACAAACTTGTTTTTCCCAATAGACGTCAGAGTCAGCTTGTGTGATCCAACAAGGGCAAAACTACTGGTACGAACAGCATTCGGTCCTCCAGGGCTGGCCATGACTGCAAGCATAAACAAATAATTTAAATTTCTCCGGGAAACACTGTACAACGCCAAGAGAAGTATACCCAGACTTAACCTGGACTTCCTACCCTTGGCAAACTGAACTGCCAGAGAGACTTTCATTATTTCACTTTAACGTATGTCCCATGGGAATCATTCCAAAGCACAGGTGCTCCCCCATGTTCAAAGAGTGAATTTAAACCTACACTGGTTTCAACCTACACTTAAACCATACACTGGTGTATGAAAGCTTAAATAGATACTTTATTGATCCCGTGAGGGAAATTGCAGGGCAATGTATAAATGTATAAATAAATACAGGGCCCAATTCATCTGATTCTGATTCTGAATACATTAATGTAGTAAGGCAGCTATAAGGGTGTGAATCAACATATATGTTGTATTAGTTTTGATTTAAATTGAGCAAGAGTGAATTCAACTGCTTTAGTTTCATTTTGTGTCACCCCCCCCCCAAAGTGTAGCGCATTGAAAAGTAATGTTTTTTATAATTACTCACTGTAATAGCCTCAAAACATCTGGTTTATAAATGTAAAAAAAAAAAACTTACCCGGAGTCTGAAGGCTGCTTTTCTAGAAAACAAAAATAAATTCAACTTCAATTTGCAAATTTACCAAGCCTGTGGCGAGAAATCCATTTTGTGTTGCAGCTAGTTATGTGCATGTTTCTTAGGACTACATTCGACATACATTTAAAAAAAAGTCTGTTTAAAAAGGCTGCACAGTTTCCAACAAAGCCACTAACACAGCCAGACAGCCATTTGTTAGAATGTGTCGCATTATCGTAAAATTCCAATTACTATTCCACTATAACATTTAAAAAAATCACTTACAGTAATAGAAGTAAGAAGTCGCTTGGGAGTAATTGCCTAAAGAGAGAAAGAATCGAGTTTCATTACAATCAAAACCAGTTTTAAAATGATACAATTTGATGAACTAAAACACTGGATTGCAATATACTGTAACTTTGGAAATGTGTCATGATTAATTTGTGATGGATCTCTTTTAATACGCAGAACCTGTGATAATCCGTCACCATTAAACTTCCATATCAAGAAGCATATTTTATGGGCAACACATTCTGGGATATTTAATGCAACGAAAAAGATGACTGAATTCATGCTACACTCGTTACACTGCATACCTTTGATTTATTTGCTTTTTTGCGCTTGTCAGAAGGTAGTTCTCGCTTTTGCACCTGCAACAAGAATTGCAATCCATCAAAAACATCATCACAGGTCTAAGCAGTGTCCCAGGCACTTTTCCTGTTAAGTCAGCAGCACTCACAAAAAGGTGATGCTGGATTTTGAAGTAGTGCTATGGAAGATATTTAGACCACTTTTAAAAATCCAATATTTCTACATTACCAACACGCAAAGTGCATTTTAAAAAGTGCGCAGTCAATTTACAATTACAATTACATAAATTAATCCATGTAACGAATCTAATCAGAAATTCTCTGGCAAGAGAGGCTCTTTAATCACATCTACCAAGCTGCACTCAAACCCTATTACATTTAAGCTCTGAATTGCTTAATTTATTTGAGGTGTTTTAAAAGAAACCATACAACAACATTGTACCAGAGTAATTCATGGACAAAACACTGATTTACATGCAACCACTTACAATTTCTGATGTACTTACCAGGCAATAAATCTCTACATCTATTTCAAAGTCATTGGAGACATCAGAACTGAAAGAGTAAAAGAGGAGAAAGAGAACTACAAACACTGCCATTTTTTTCACATTTACAAATCTGCAAACATGCTTATAAAATCATAAAGCCTATAGCTTCCCAAACGGAACTGTTTCGGAAGATTACGTTGAAAATACATCAAACTGCACAAAAGAGAGCATACATTCATTTACTTACAGTGTGAATTTAGTTGGAAAGCTAAGGGCATCTCCACTCAGAGCATTCTGAGTACATGCTAGGGGTGTCGCCACAGTATTTTCAGCTCCAGCCCGGATCATTATGAAAAAATAATAGTTTGCCGATTCTGAAAATTAGCGGAACAAGAAAAAAAAAAACATTTTGCAACAGTCTTAATAAACCTTCTGCTTGGCTCTTGCCTCTGCAATTTCCCTCATGGGATTAATAAAGTATCTATCTATCTTTATGCACAGCAATGCTTTGGTATGTGCCCAAATGTTCCCTCATCAACCCAGAGATCCATGTTCAACTCCTGGTCAGGGCACAAGTTTTTGCCGGTAGCCAGCCGTTATATCGCCCTGCAACTCACAACAGGCAACCCAATGAATTTAAGCAGGTGTGAGCCTGGCCAGTAATTGGAAGGGAGACCTCCTGGGAAAAACTAAGGTTTCTGCTGGAAGAGGTGTTAGTGGGGCCAGCAGGAGGTGCTCACCCTGCAGTCTGTGTGGGTCCTAATGCCCCAATATAGTGACGGGACCACTATACTGCTAAAAGGCGCCATCCTTCGGATGAGATGTAAAACCGAGGTCCTGATACTCTGTGGTTATTAAAAATCCCAGGGTGTTCCTTGAAAAGAGTAAGGATGTTATCCCAGTGTCCTGGCCTCCTAATAATCCCCTTCTATTAATTGGCTTCATCACTCTGTTCTCCTCCCCACTAATAACTGATGAGTAGTGAGCGTTCTGGCGCACTATGGCTGCCGTCACATCATCCAGGTGGATGCTGTACATTGGTGGTGGTGGAGGGGAGTCCCCATTACGATAATGATAATGTTATGATAATATTTCTTTATTAGCCCTATACAATTTCTTGCATTAGGAATTCGTCTTTTCGCATACCCCAGCTTTTCTCCATGGAGACACAGACACACAGACAGGGGTCAGAGCGCAGGGTCTGCCATTGTACGGCGCCCATGGAGCAGTTAGGGTTAAGGGCCTTGCTCAGGGGCCCAACGGAGTAGGATTCCTCTGCCGGCCGCAGGATTTGAACCGGTAACTTTTCAGTCACAGACGCAGATCCTTAGCCACAGAGCCACCACTCCGCCCAAAAATACCTGTAAAGCGCTTTGATGGAGTGTCGAGAAAAGTGCTATATAAGTGCCAGGAATAATTATACATTGTGTATGTGCCTTTCATGAATTGTTCTCGTTTTAAAAGACATGTTAGCACAACATTAAATCAAAAAACAAAAACCTTACCAGGTTTGTGTGCAGAACAAACAAAGTCAGCTTTTAGAGGAAGACGCAACTCAAACAGAGAGATGGATCCCTTTGACGCAGAGCAGCTAGCATCCTGAGCTTTACATGTGCTGGGAGTCTTCTTCTGAGCCGACGGCCCCTCGCCTTTTAGTTTATTCAGCTCTTTCAGCAACGCTGCTCTCCTCTCGGCTAGAAAAATTAAAAATAAAAATACACATATTTGACTGAATTCATATTTTGCTGGGATACCAGAATGTTCTTTACCAAAGCAAAGATACTCAATACATGTTTCAGATATGGGTGACTCGTAAAAGCTTACTGGCAATGAGAAGAAGCCTTTCTGCTTCAGCCTCCACCTGAGATCCTTTCCCATGCTCCTCGTCCACACAGCAATTCAGAGCTTGGCTGGCCTGATGAATCACAGTCTGTTGCATATTGATCTCATTATTAAAAAACTGGAAGATAAAAAAAAAATAGGCATTACAACGTTTCCAAGCACATGTGGAAATACTGCAGATTGCACTAGAAAGAATTTGTGACTTATTGATCGAAATAGTAATCTAGGCCACGATCATTTAAAAAACAGAAATACAGACAATACTCAAAGATTCTTGGGACAACGAAACCCCACCTCCAGCCCCAGATAAGAACTAAAGCCCAAATTGAAGGGCAACTTTTGCACACATACCATGAATTTGCTCTAGGCTACAACTGTGGTGTCAAGCAGTTCACTTAACTTCAAACGTTTCAGACAAACTAAGCCAAGTCAAAGCACCAAGACAAAAAATTAACCTTTCAGCGGCACTACTGAAACAATCTGAGGCCTTGTAGAACTTACTCTTGCTTAACGGTTTCAGTTTAATAGGTTCACCTTAAAAATAGAGGATCTGGCTAGAAACAAAAAATACACATTGACAAGAACTACAGGAGACCACACACAAATTCTGACTAAAGAAACTTTTAAAATACCTTTGACCAGAACAGATTTGAACAAACTTGAAGAAATGTTACCTTCATTTTCTGCTTAATGTTCACTTGGCCTACACTCCTGTTCTCTTCAAGCTTTTGGGAAACATCTTCTTTACGGACAATCACTTGCTTAACGTGAGGTCGATCTACTTCCTTAATTCTCGTTGATCGATAAGCATCGATGCTACAAAAAAAAGGTTTCAGATGTTACTTTTGCCTTCGCAACACATCTTTTCTATTTATTCAAAAGACCACCACACCTTCAAAATATAACATTTGATTAATATATTTTCAGTCTTTACTTGGTCCTTTGCAGTAGGGATGTTCACACACCTCGTAGGAACATTTTAGAACTCACAAACAAAAGTTAACTTTAATTTTTTCATCATAACAGTGGTGTAAATCATAATACCAGATTATGTACTGTAATCAATACCTCTGAATCAATTGTTATAGCCACAGGCATGAGAGCAGTACAAAGTAAAGCATCATTCTGCACTGCCACCTAGTGTTTTAACTTAAGGCCATTTAGTTATGATTGCTACCACAGAAAAATAATATGCTAGCTATTATTATTCATCTTCATAGACCTGCTGATTATGCTTTATCTTGGTGCTTCTCAAACATTAATATTCTATATTTGTTTTTCCAGGTAAGATCTGACAAAGTCTTTGGTTTCAAAATTATTATACTATGATATTGTTGTCTCTCTTTATATAGTTGGGAAAAAATGATCAAACTCAAAAAAGGACACTGTTCTGCACAAAAGATAAATAAAGCCAAGTCTGAAACTCAGATTTTGCTTCATGGATGATAACACAAGCCAAGATCTTATGTGCTGTAAAACCACCATACTGACTTAAGTGGCTATTAATTAGCCTGAGTGTTAATGAGCTCAGTTAAATGAAAGAGACAAAGGTCACCATAGGCCAGGATTTAGAACCATGTATTTATACAATATAATTCTAGTAACATTGTGTAGGAAGGAGATGGTATGTCTGCTACTGCTGTAAGAAAATGTAATGATTAGAGAATTTTTTTTAAGTCTTCAAAATGGAAAGCAATGGCTACAAAAACTACCAAATATCACCACCCTGAAACAAAATTCTAACATATACAAGGTGGTAATTTAGCTAAAATTCCTTCTAGGCCAGGTGTAAAACTTGATACTGAAGGTCCAGTATACCTGCAGGTCTGCATTCCAACTCCATTCTTATTGAGCTAAAGCAGGCAATAACTGGCCTGACTGGACCAATGAAACAGATTATCCGAGCTCTTCAGATTACAACACTTTACAAATATCCTGAGGCACTCACTGGCCTTTGATGAATAGGATTGCCCATCCTTGCTACAGGCTGGTCTTGGTAGCTAAGCAAGGTTGGGCCTGGTCGGTACTGGGTTAGGAAACCTGAAAATTCATGAGAATGAGAATTCCCAGCCATAGTTCTAGAGACCCACACATTCCAGCCCAGCTCCTTACTTAATTGAACCCTTCAATGAACTAGCTTGATCTGAAGCTTGGCAATTTTCTTTCTACTCAAAAGTTGGAGATCTTAATGGTCTTATAAAACATAAGTTGAAGGACAACTTACAACATCTTTAGAAACAAAGTAAAAGCTTAAATCAGTCTTGTTTAATTAAGGGTTCAACTATGTAACAGAGCTCGACTGGAACAAAATACCAGCAGACATGTGGATCTCCAGGACATCTCCAGTTTGGAAAGTCCCACTGTAAGGGAAACAAGGCTTCCAAACCAATAGCCCAGTATGGGCACAGAGGACGATGAGCTGTAAAAGGTACCATCCTTAAGATGAGATGTTAAAACTGAAGTTCTTTAAAGATCCCATAGCACTGTTCAGTAAGAATTCCTCAAATTTAGGAAGTTAAATGCTTGCATGTTGAGGGTTACTAACACTATTTAAAACAGTTCTGGCATTTATCAACAAACACACTTAAAATGTTTATATCTAGTAACCAGGACTGTATAATACTTGTAAAATCCTATTTCTAATCTTAACTAGAGTACATCCCATATCTTCCCAACCCTTAATTTGACTTTTAAAACAAAGCAAAAAAAACCTTAACAGGCTATACCTGTACAGGAGGTTTTGGTCATCAGCCACAGAGTCAACACTTTCAATCGATTCAGCCCGATGAACTCGAGCTCTTTGGTATCTGGTGGGTCTTTTCCCTTCTGGCGTTTTGCCTTTCTCACGAGCTGTGCTTGTTGGGGTAGATGCCTTTGGAAAGAACTGTAACAGTTAAGCTTCAATGATAAGGATACATATTTTCATACATTTCCAATAAAATCACATTACCAGGTCTAAAGATTTAGTTCAGAAATGAGATTCAAATTGTAAATAGTTTTTAGAATTTGCACGGCCCAGCATAACGAAGAGAAAATTATAAATATAATAACAGAAATAAAAATAAAACCGAAAAAATATGCTGAATGAATTTATTTTACAAAACTTCAGGATCTATGCTACTTATTCATTGTGTTTCTGCCTTCAAACTGGTGTTTGTATATATATAAATAAATGCACCTATATTCATCAACAGACAATGCCATGAAAATAGGAAGAAAATTCTTTATGGTGCACAAACTTGAACAATTTTTAATCTTCTTATACACTGATAGATCAGCCCTCAGTGCAATGTTAAAACAAGACCCTTATCTCCTCACCTCTGGACTTGTGACCACAGAAGCCACTGTCTCGGCCAGGGGAGTCAGAAGGGACATCGAGGAAATATTCAGAGGATCCTCATCATCTTCAACATCCTGCTCCTCTTCATCCTCCAACCGATCCTGTCCGGGAAGCTTTGCTAGGGGGCTCCGTGGACGCTGCTCGTTATCGTCTTCCTCATCAAACAGCTCATCGATGACCCCAGCGCTATTGATCTCTTCATCCACATTCATCTCAATCTCCTGATTCCCTGCCGCTTTATTCAAACCATAATTGTATTTCATTAGTGGTGTCATGAAAATTTTGGAGCTCCGCTAGCCCACTCCACCATAATCCACTGCTACAACACGGCAATAACTTAAATTTTAAAAATCAGCCACCAACATTTATTTATTTTTTTTAAAGTGGGATATCACGGGACAAAACGGCAGACATTTGTACAAAGATTTAAGGGATTTAAAAGGGGTTCAGTGATAACGGATACTACTAAACTCCAGTCCTATCTTGCAAAAATCAAGAAACTAAACCCATACAGGTGATACATACATATATCTTGTTTTTCCCTTTTGTCTTCTAGAGGCTCAGGCAAGTTCTTCTCTTCCTCTGTGAACGCAACTTTCTTCAGGGGACTAGATGTGGAAGAACTGCTGACAATCGCGTCCTCTTTGAGTGAGTCTTCCGAAATAAGGAAAATGAATATTGTGTTAAAAAAAATCCATGCCTTATTATAATGTCCATTCCAAAGAGTTTCCCTCAAATACATACAGAAACAAGCTTAAGTCATTTCTCATGAAACTATTGTTTAATGATAGAAAACAGGACTTCTATTTACAGACTATGTGAAGTCTCAGAAATCTCTGTATAAGTGTAGAATAAGGAACTCAATGTCATGTGTTCAGTGCTGTAAACCTTTCCAAACTGGTTTTCTACAAGCTATAAGTTCCTAAATTAGTAACTTTTTTTTCCATTTATTTTGCAAGCTTGTATCCAAGCCTTTATAAGACTGTAGGCCATCTCCTTGTTTTTCTAAATTAAGTCCCAGACATCAATCATTATCACTTATGTTGCCCTACTGTACCTTCCTGCAGAATCATATATTATGTCCTGATTAATAAGACTTAGGATTCCATTACATACTCAAAGAGGTGCCTGAGGATTTCAAAGACGAGCTGGTTGGGGTCACATCTTCTGGATGAGATGCTGGTTTACTCTCAGACTGTGGAGTATCCCGAGGCTGTCCCAGTGGTTCATATGCAATCCCCTACAGGTATAAAAAATAGCTTTAAAGCCTATTTGAAAAATTTTGTCTCGTTCACAAGAACTTTACATTTGACTACATTTCCTTCTTGGAAAGTGGATTACTATTTATCAATCAATCAAGGTTTATTTATCAATGCACGAACAGTACAACATACAGTGGTGTTGTCGGCAGTGAAATGCTTTAACCGGAGAGAAGTTATCAGGGATTAGGTTAGGATTATGATACAATACATGATACAATTGCTATTTGCAATACAGCTACAGATTGCACGAACGTAACACCAAATCCAAAGAGGAATACAAAGTGTACTTATTTATGAGTAGGTAACTGCGAGATAAATTTGTAGGTGCCCACTTTTGGTAGAGAACCACTGGGATATAATTTAGCTAAGGTCTTCTTGGCTTTTAGCACAACAGCAATTCCTTTGACTTGTGAAAAGCTTGTGGTGACATGAGCAAAGCACTGCTCTTCCAGCCAGCATGTGTAGACCTTGCCGCATGTCAAATGTTGAATGGCTTAGCCAACGGGCATATCAGAGGGGCACATTTACAGGCCTCGTTCTTTCCTGAGTGGATGTGGAAGCCATTGAGTTTGGTATTCAAATTGTAAATTATCATGCAGATAGATATACAACAAGAACAACTCTCTATGGAGATAGAAAATTTGGGTTATCACATAGATGAATAGATGCATTTTATCTTGTAAAGTCTTTTATCTTTTCAGATACTGATCTTTGTAAGTATTTAACTACATAAAAGGACCTTAAAATATGCTATAGTATTAGCATGGCAATATTTAAGGGATGTTCCATTTACAAGGAATGACTGCAACAGGGAAGCAGAGTCTTACACTTGAGGAAGGCAGGTCTTTTGTGTCTGAGCTTTCATTTTTGTCGCTCTTCCACATGCTGCCCTTCTGGAAACGATTCCGGATCGATGCGAGTTCCCTTTCACGCTCCTAAAAGGGAAACAGTATAATACAGATGTTTTTTTAAAACAAAACAGTATTCCATTGCTATATATTTTATAACTAATATTATTTTAATATGTGTGTGTTTACAAATTACTTGCATTTCCATTAAAAAATTAATTCCAGCCTTTTTTAAGCAAACATCACATAAGTCCATCGCTGAAACTGAATGGAATCACCTTAAGCTGAAAGGCATTAATGAAGTAAACACAGATGTCGTTTAAAGTTGTAAACTCCAAAAAAAAAAAAAAGTTGAATACAACATCAAAAAGATGTAAATACTTGTTTCTGTTTCTGAGCGAGATCTGCAGTTGCGGTGCCTGACTGGTGTGACTTCAGTCTTTCTTGAACTTGCTTCGTGTTTGGCGTGACAGCGGGAGTTCTGTGTCCCTGGGCGGAATATGGGGGACTCTGGACTGTGCGCTCCTGGCAGCGTTCTCCAAACCGTTCTAGAAAAGACTTCACACCACTTCCACCTAGACAAATACAAAAATCCAAAATCAAGATAATAATAATAATAAACATTATTTTATATAGAGCCTTTAAAGCTGGCTTCTCGAAGCACTTTATAGAATGACAACAACAATAAATAAAAAGAATACACAAAATAAGACAACTACAATATACAGAGGAGAAAAGGATGGTGGTACTAAGAAAAGCAGAGGGGTGAAGAATGGAACCAGTTAAGTAAAGGCTTTTCTGAAGAAGAGGGTTTTGAGTCTGGATTTGAAGGAGTTTAAAGAAGGTGACTCTCGGATATCCTTGGGTTCCAGAGCTTGGGGGCATAACAGGAGAAGGCCCTGTCACCCATACAACGTAGATGGGCTTGGGGGATAGTAAGGAGACCAGAGTTAGAAGAGCGAAGGTTGCGAGGTGGGGAGTAGGGCAATAATAGTTCAGACAGGTACTGAGGTGCCAAGCCATGCAGAGCCTTATAGGTGAGCATGAGGATTTTAAAGTCTACACGGAATTTGACCGGAAGCCAGTGCAAGGACTCCAGGATAGGAGTAATGTGAACACCTGCACTACACCTGGTCAGGATTCTGGCTTCTGAAGATAAATATAAATCATCGCATTGCTCCCTGATCAATCCTTCTGCATTAGTGAGCTTAACTGTAATTATCTTTAGGTCAATTGTGATCCTCAGGCCTTAACATTGCTTTTTATCTTTGACTTAAAACAGCTCAATTAATTATTTACAAGGGAACTGAACAGTAAAAGCTGCTGGATCGTTTTACAAGCTAAAATCATGTAAAAGGTGCAAAATACAGTTAAAACAAGCAGGAGATAAAAACATACTTCTAAAACCAGAACTACCTACCTGGTGTAACTGCTGTGTTTTTCGGCTGCTGGAGTGAGCCGTCTTTGACGAGTTGTTCTCTTGTCAGAGGAGCTGAAGAGGTTGCTTTGGCTTGTGGAGTGGAGTTGACCTCAGTTTTCCTCACATTAGGAGAGACTTTTCCTGCTTGAAATGCAGGGAGTTCTTTGGGTGGCTGAGATTTCTGTGGGCTTTGGGAATTAAATCTTCCTATCTCACCTGAAGCTTGAGCTTTTGATAATTCTGGTTTCTTGGGACTAGGAGAGAAAACGCTCCTAGGAGGAAGTGCAGCCTGGTGGCTGGGAAGGTTAATTTTCTGAGGACTTGAAATCAGTCTTCCTGTATTTGAAGCAGATTGAGTCGTCAATCGAGTTGTTTTCTGAGGGCTAGATGGGATGTTTCTGTTGGTTGGCAGCACAGATCGGGGTTCTGGTGTCTCAGCTTTCTGAGGATTTGGTGGAACTACTCTGGTTGACTGAACAGGCAGATGGACGGAACTCTGGAAAAAAAACAAGTTTTAAGTAAAAAATGAGCAAATAACCCAAAATGTTCTATCAGAATGATAGTTAATAAAAAACTAAGGACATTTCTGCAAGTCAATAGCTGGAGAACAGACACTATTTAATAATTAACTATACTGGACTTCACATATGACAAATTATCCAACAAATTCAAACAGTTATATACGAGCAAAAGAAATAACACACAGAAGAAATTTAAGATCTTTAAAACCTAAATTTATCGCTAGTTCCTGTATAATCCACCTCATTATTCATTTGCATAGAACTGCCAAAACAGAAGAACGCGTTTCTCAGTAACAATACCAGTTCGCAAAGCAGTAAGGAATATTAAACTCTTTGTTTACCCACCTGTTCACCAGAAAGGACTGGTTTATTCAATGATGCTTCAGCAGTCTTTTGAGAATATGATGCAGTGCTTGGCTTTACACTGGCGCTGCTAGCACAAGCAGATGCCCCATTGGTAGCGGATGGTTTTGATAAACAAGTGGTGCCAGGCTGTGCTTGTGCATTGTTTCGCTTTACAGATGGATGGCTGAGGTCATCTTCCCACGAGCCAATAGTGGCTGCAAGGTTAGCAAATCGGCCTTTCCTTCCTGCTGGAGTCTCAGAGGAGCCAGACACCAGGGGCTGTTTGGGAGGGGAAGGGTCTTGTCTTTGTGGCTTGATAGATGAAATATATCCATTATCTACAGCATCACCTAAATAAAGAGATTAAAAACATAGGTTGTAGATGCACTTGATCAAAGTGTTGCACCACCCAGCTCCATCTAAATTGCACCACTCCATCTAAATTAGCTTCAAATATCTTGTTAATTATAAAATTGTACTGTACAAAATCATTTGGCAAACTTTAGAGGCGTGTGGGTCAAAGGTACGATTAAAACAATCCTGGCAGCATGAAAACAATTTGGAAGGAAAAAAAACCAAAGTACTTGGTACTTTTAATCTCTTGACCACTTCTCATCTTCATGAAATGTACTTGCTGGAGGGAGAATCTTGACATCTACATACATAATTTGTAATATAAACCAATAAAGATGAAAAGATTCAGTTTCCTTCCCAGGACAAAAATGCAGTCATGACCAAACGTATAGACTGGTTTAGACATAACCCCTGTAGTTCAAACAGTACACTCACTTTCAGGTGATATTGTAATTAAAATACACTTTTATACAGGAAGAGCTAGGTCCATTACCTTCGTTGTCCCAGTACTGTCTTTGATCAACCAGCTTCTGCATGCGAGATTTTATGGATCTGGTTGAGTGGGCCGGGATCTCCTCTTCCTTCTTGTCAAACTCTGGGGCAGGCCTTGCGGAGCTGCTCAGAGAAGCTACAGCGGGCTTTCTGTCAGTCTCCGCGGTTTTAGGCACAGCCTCCTGGATTACAGGCTCTCTATTCTCTTCCCCTGTGGCTGGGGCCTCTTTGTTATCAGAACACCTTCGCTTAGATGGAGACGGCTTGGTGGAAGGTTGAACTTAAGAGGGAAAAAAACAATCATATTTCATTTTAAAGCAAATCAAATGCTTCAACGATTGTCAGGGTCATTTCTGATTAAATGGGTATCAGAATTACAATTTCCATATGAGACTATTTTAAACAGCAGTTAGCAGGACAAGCATCACAGTGTTAACATTTCACTCATATTTGTTTAAAAAGAACGATTCCCAAAATAAAACGCCCCACTTTTCAGCCGGTTTTATAAAGAAGTATGCTTATTCTGTCGCAAATAAGAAAAGATTGCAATTGTAGCTACCAAAGTTTCAAAAACACAAAAAAAGCTGCATTTATGTTACCGTCACACAGGGACTTACCTGCCTCAGCTGGCTGCTCAGGCAGAATGTTAGTTTCTGTAAGGGGATCTCTGGCTCTTTTTGCTATCAGCCTGTTGGCTGCCGTGGGTCTCTCTGCCATTTTCTTCTGCAGATTCTCTCTGCGGGCACGAGTGCGCTCAAGGAGTTTCTGCAATTCAAATTGGCAAAAAGAGCAATATATACTTAGAATGAAACAATGTGTATTGCAACTCTGAATGGGGAGATTCAACTTATATTGTGCGTCTTTTTAAAACCAGTAATCCCACTATTATTAATGGCCTGGCACAATCTTACAACCTGTCGGTGTCTCTAAGGTTGCGTCATTTTGTAAAGCACATCTGAAGACATTTAAATGTCTAGAACATGATTGTTAGAGTTGTTTTATTTACTGTAAGGGAATACAGAAACCGAAGACATTGGTAAAACCCACACAAAAACGAGCCCAGAAACATGAGGCGGTATTCTGCGGTCCTTTAAATACTGCAAATATTAAATAAATAACAGACAAATGAGTTGAAAACTAATAATGCGGCAACTCGAAACACATTTTAGAAATTATTTCTAGATCGACTTCTTATTTGATCTCTTTAGCTGATCAATACATTTGTGTTCTCTCATATTGACTACTGTAATGCTCTACTCGCTGGGGTATCTAAATCTACTTTGAACAAACTGCAGTATGTCCAAAATTCAGCAGCCAGAATCCTGACCAGGTCTAGTGAAAATGATCACATTACTCCTATCCTGGAGTCCTTGCACTGGCTTCCTGTCAAATTCCGTGTGGACTTTAAAATCCTCATGCTCACCAATAAGGCTCCGCATGGCTTGGCACCTCAGTACCCGTCTGAACTATTATTGCCCTACTCCCCACCTCGCAACCTTCGCTCTTCTAACTCTGGTCTCCTTACTGTCCCCCAAGCCCGTCTACATTGTATGGGTGACAAGAGCCTTCTCCTGTTATGCCCCCAAGCACTGGAACTCTCTGCCCAAGGATATCCGAGAGTCGCCTTCTCTAAACTCCTTCAAATCCAGTCTCAAAACCCTCTTCTTCAGAAAAGCCTTTACTTAACTGGTTCCATTCTTTACCCCTCTGCTTTTCTTAGTACCACCATCCACGGTCTCCTCTATATATAGTAATTGTGTTTTATCTTTTGTATTCTTTTTATTTATTGTTGTTGTCATTCTGTAAAGTGCTTTGAGAAGCCACCTTTAAAGGCACTGGATAAAATAAAGTTTATATTATTATAATTATTTAGAAAATCTAGCTATGACTGTTTGACAAGTAGTGTGCTACGTGATGTCCTTGTTTTCTACACATAATATACTGTTATGTCCCATTCTAAATGTTCTCAAAGCAATGTGAAATGAGTGAAGTACTTATGCAATGGTACATAAGATATTGTGTTGGATATAAACCCACCAACAGCTACAAAAAGTCATCAGAACTGCTAATTTTGCCTAAAAAGTTAAAATGAATTACAATCTGATTTGAAAACACAGGCCACAATTATGTATACAACACAATTATACACTACACAGTCATGCACAGAGAAATAACATAATCTACCCCTTTTCACCTTAATATATAAAATACAAACATCGATGATTTCTAACATTCAGGCTTGGTGATACAGAGGTATGTTACTCACATTAACACAGTACACTGTATTACAATACACTGAATGAAAAGCAGCTCAGAACAAAAAAATAAAAACTGTAGACTGGGCTTGAAGCCCAAGGCTTCAAAAGATTTACTACTGTACATCAAGACTTGAAAGCAGGATGAAGCACATTCCAAGCTTTACCGTTTGGGAAGCGACGCAGTCGAAATTTCAGTTGAAGCTGAATGTCATTGCTTAAGAATGTGTTAATCACATGCGACTTCAAACTCAACTTTTATTGGGTAAGCAGCTTGCAAAGTTTACAGGAGGGATCCATCTGGGAGTACTGTTAACTGCCACATAGCACATTCAAAAAATACAGCCAACAGAGAATCATCAAGTAGGGCAATTAAAATCAGTAACACAATTAATTAGGTTTTACAGGTTAAAAATGTGAGATCTTGGTACTAAATTTAATTATTTGAATCCCTTTATGGAGACTAAAAGAACAGAATATGAACAAAAACATTTTTGTACTTCAATAAATCATATTCCACACTAATACTCAGGAAGAAATTGACACAAAACTAGTAAGGATTTTTCTATTTCCTGACTATAAAAGTAGTGTTCAATTTGACAAGTCATCAACTCTTCACACCTGGAGTTCATGTTGAAAACCTACAGTAATAACATTCTCAAACTTTGGGATCAGCTGCAATTGGAACGCTTCCCAGAAAGCAGACCTGGGGAAAAACTGGAAGGCATTCATTTCCATTTAAGGGAATAGGTAGCCATTCTCCCTATAACTGTCTACATACTTCAGTCACCGAAAGTGCGCGTTTATTTAAAAAAAAGCTGCCAATACGCTTAAAATGTGTAGACGAGACTAAAAAGCATAGCATACAGAAACTATCATCTTGACACTGCATGCGGTACTTAATTTATTGAGATTACATAACTGTAATCTCAATAAATTGTTTTTGCATTTTAAACGCTGATTTGTGAACGTTGTGACCGTTTTGCATGTTTTGAACCTTGCATTTATAACCCCCAAACAAACACACTGGGTGGGTCACTCTGAATCACTTCCCAAGATAATGAGTTCTCTGTAAAAAGACTGGGCTGGCCGTAAACTGACATCAGTCCCACCCCTGTCACTGTAGTTTATAAATTGCGCGACTGACCTATTCAGACAGCCAGTGGCCTCTGGCTTTTCCAGTTCTTTTCCGGCTAACTTATCCGCCTGCAGTCATCTATGCTCTGGCCAGACTACGGATCTTTAACTTAAAGTTTAAGTATGAAATGTATTCTAGGCATTGAGCACTATGTGCTGCTGTAAACTATTTTTTGTGCACGCTTTTATTCTTTTAAATACATTGCTGCTGTTTTTAAATACCCGAGAGAGATCAATTGAACAGACGAATGTTTATTTCGGCAATCCCTCTTACATTACCTAGTATCCTGCGTTCGTTTTTGCAACGATTTAATTCATTTTTGTAGTGAGGTTTAAAATGATATATATCAGCAAAAAGATCCCAGCAGAAGTTGCAGAATGTCGCTTTCAGAGAGCACGGGTGTGGTCTGACCACGTTTAAAAAGTGCAAATCGGGTGTGCTAACGTTCTTTGAGCAGAAATAAATGTGAACGACGTAGCAAAAAAAGAGTTTATTAAGGTATAAATGGTTTGAAAAACAACAGAAAGGTTGGACAGCCGCGCAATAACATATCGATTGTTAACCACCAATATTTGTGATCGTCTGTTCATGCAGGCAGTGTCCACAGTCTGTTGGAGAAGTATCATAACTGTGAAAACTGGACATTGGAAGTTAGTTCCCAAGTATAACAAATAAATAGCATCTAACGTGTTTCCCTGCTCATATATATATATACGTCACTCACAACTAATCTCTGCATTATTAAGGATTTAAAAAACAAATACACTTGTAGCGTGTCTGTCTGTAAGGGGATAATTCTCGAAACTAGCTGAAATCGATAATAAAGTTTCCACTCACCTCCGTAAAAGGATCCATGTTTTTTTGCCGTGGATTCCGATCCACCACTGTATTTCAGGAGACTACAGTCTTTTAAATAATAAGCTATTATCCCGTGAGACGCGCTCAGCGCAGCGATCTTATTTTCTCAACGCCTTCTGTCTTCTCCCAGCCTGCCTCTGTTCGAATTTGAATTTCAGCGCCGTGCTCACTGCGCAGGCGCCACGATCACATGACAGGTGGGACCCTGCGGGACGAAGCGACCAATAGGAAGAGGGTACATGAGATACAGTCCGCCTGCTGGTGTTGACAGGCGCCCTAAGAGATCGTTTATAAAAGTGTGAAGAATTGTGAATGTCAGTTTGTCGCCTTTAATATAGTGTCCTAAGACTGACATCATGCATGTACCTTGGGTGCAGTTTAATTTTGTTCGAGGAAAAGCAGAAGAGTTATAGCAAGGCGACGGCAAATGTAAAATTCGGTATATGTAACTCCTGTGTAGATCTGTTTTGCTCTGTAATTTGTGGATACTCTTTTAATGTTGTCTATCGTTACTTTTTTTTCAAAACATTTGGATTCTATCGATTAGAAGGTTATCACTTTTATAGCTAGTTTACAAACTTCATAAAGTCCACATAAGATATTATGTTTTTTATGCTTTTAACTCTAGAAAAAAAAAACACGATACTGTATATACAGAGGAAAGTGACTAACTTTTAATAACCGGAGTTAATGGGAGTCGCAAAATTGATGACAGAGCATACACAATTCAGAAAGGTTACGCACTATGGACATAATAATGATTATCGACTGTAATCTTAATACCTTTGTTATAATAATAAATAATAATAACCTATTTCCTAAGGCTGGTAAACTTATTTTTAATATGTTTTGTATTAACAGAAAATAATCAGTGAACACCCAGTCAATACTGTAGATTAACTGTGTTGTATTTAATAAATGTCTACACATTTTAAATAAATTGTAAATCTGTAAAAAATTAACATAGCCTATGTCTAGATTAAGGTTAAACTTCGAAATACATGGCAGTTATAGGTCACACTTTAGTCCTTAAGACAAAGTTTTTATTAGAAAAAAAATAAGTATCCAGAAATGAACATATTTGTATCGTCTGTGACTTACAAGTGTGTGATCATTTTCATTTCAACTGTACCGTTGTCAAATACAAATTTAACAATGTGAAGTCAAATACAAAGACAAATACAGTATGAAATAATGAGTTGCAAACTCATAATGCTAAAACAATATTTGTACAATTTCATTTATTCTGATTCCCTCAATAAAACATTTGCTCCAAATTTAATGGGAACACATTTTTATCCTTCTAATTTTGACAATGTGCTACTCAAATCAGTTTTGAACAACAAATATTAATTATCATATCAAAAGCCTATGAGGTTATGCAGTATTATGGCATTACAAAAACCCAGTGACTAGGTTCATACACTTCTATAATTGTTTGAAACTATAAGAGCAAGGCCATTAAAGAATGGTATCCTCTTCCACTGTGGGACAAAAAGGTCTCAGCTAGTGACAATTTTACCATGCTGCTTTGCTCGATGACCATGGTTTTCCAGAAATATTCGCAAGGAAATGTTTGATGACAAGGCTGGTTATGGAGGAATTTGCCAACTCCAGGCACATTAAATATGGTACAAAATGAGTGACATCTATATATTTGAACAATTAACTAGTAAGTTCTTCAAAAAATGCCTCAATCCTGGTTAAAATATCAGCAAGGCAGGTGTATCTGTTTGTGTGTCCTGGGAAAAGATTCAGAAAGGTAACAAAATGGAAACACAGGTAACATTTTGGATAGTGATTAAAATATTAGTACCAGCAAAGTCTATAATTTCATAGCACATATTATAAAATATTTCTCACACGTAGGCAGAAATTGTTTGTACTAAGGTAAGAATACATATGGAGATTGAACTCCGTCAACTTAAATTAAACCAGTCATTGACCCAAATCCTGGTCCTAATGGGCTCGTGTATCTGTAAATTTTCTAGGTCTTTTCAAAGCTTTGCCACCTCTAGAATTTGACTAAGCTACCATACTGGTCCAGTTATACATCCAGAAGTCCAGCAAGGGCTTTAAGACTCCAACTGGCCTTAGATTTAAATCAAATGCAAGACTATGCAAATACCTGGCAGATGATGTCTAATGTAGACAGATGTAGAACCTTTCATGCAGGTAGCAAAAATAATCACTAAATGAGAAACACTGAGCTTGACGAGGTGACTTTGACATTTGTGTTCCCACAATATTAACATCTGGAGAAGCAATAACAAAAGCAAACAAAATGTTAGGATATGTAGTTAAAGGGGAAAAAAATAAATCAAGGTATTTATATAAGATAGGTGGAGATAACAATGGGAACCACATTGTCAAGAAATTGTGACTAATAAAGTGATCTTATCTTGGCTAGCAAAGACTAAAAAGTTGTCTTTAGAAAAATCCGCTAAATACAATATTCATAATCTGTTTCCCCTCTTATCTCATTTTCCATAGCTCTGTTGTGAAGCAGAATGTCCAACCTTTCTTTTATCTGGTAGATGTCCAAGGCCACCTTGGTAATCCAAAATATACAGGCAATGTTGAAGACCCAGACACAGAATAAGAAGTACCTGTACCATTGACCAGGTATCCCTGTGAGAAAAACGGACAAGGTTTTATATTATTTAGCATTGGTTCTTGCAGACAAACAACATAGGAAGTGATCATCATTTTTTATAGAATGTACTATTTATTTTTAGGAAATGACTGCTGTGAAACTACCGCAGGCTTCTGATCACTCTAAAAAGAGAACACTGTGTCAATGTGCAAGGTGGGGGAGCTGTTGATTGATATACTTGTGCTAGTATCTATTAAATTGCAAGTCTGTTGCAAATTGCAATCAATTTTTAAAATATTTGAAAATTCCTCTCACAGAGATATAAGAACCAAATGCCAAAAATGGAATGAAAGAAAAAATTGACATAATGTTAATCATAGATATCTATATATTGTACTTTATTTATATATTTTTCTTTCTCATCATACTGTACATGTACATGTATGTCTCTTATTTGTTAATGGTTCATGTTGTGTATTGGGTTATTTCTTTTACATGCCTGGAATGCAAATTCCCATCTGAGACGATAGACGAATATGTAGTCAGAAAGGCTTTTATTTTACGTATACTGCGTAATTTTTGATACGTATGTATCAAAGAAATGTTCCTGAGATTCATATGATGAGCAATCCATCACTGAACAAGAGAGCTAAACTTTTTGCTAATTATGTGGCCATAGCAGTCCACATGCATGTCTAATTTATCTTCAGTATTATTATCAGCAAAGTCTTTGGTTCATTATTTCAGTTATGAAAATTTTCTTCACCATTTAATTTAATGCGCGGTCCTCCACAAAGAGTATCTGCAACAAACTGAAATATTGTTAACCCCCTTAGCCAAACACCAAAACCACAAAAATCATGTAAAAAAATAGTTTAATATGTCCGCCCAGACCTCAGAAACAGTTTGTCAAAACTGAGGTTTCGATTGTTGCCATGTTCTGTGTTGCAGAATACAGGCCAGCATATACAGTAATATGGATGTAAAATATGAACTATATTACAGATTATTAATTCAAAAGCAAGTATAATCCTGCATGGACAGAAATTGTGCAGTACTGTGATGAAGCACACTGTAAAAAACCAATGTTACCTCTCTTCATTTTACATATGAAGAACATAGTTCATACAGTACCTCATAAAAGCCTACAGTACTGTATGTCTTATGTGTATTTGGAAATGCCATTACTTTGATAACTGTATTTATTAGATGTCATATCTGTCATATTATTCCAACCCTAAAATCAGCAGATTTTGTTTCATAATTGAAGGATTCAGTTTACTTTAAAAAAACACTTAAACACTATACTGCAGCAGAAAACTTAAATATAAATTAAAACTCACATTGAGGGATTGGATTCCTTGAATTAGAATGTCCTTAGAAGACAAAACCATGAAGTAAGCACAGTAACTGCACTATGAACTTAATGTAATAATTCAAGAAGTAAAAAATAATTATAACCTCATCATTTCAATATTTCTCATTCTGTTATAACATGCTACTAAAAATATGAAAATAAAAGCAAATTATAGCTTTTTTTAAATCGTGCTATCAAAACACACAAGCACCACACTTTGAGTATTAAATTACTTCATATTAGGAGCTTTTTTAAGTGTAGTAACAGTAACAATCTATTTTCTGCCATTCAGAAAAGTTGTGCTTACAGGGGACTCACTGCAATACCACTGTACTGTAATATATTGTCTCTCAAAAACGTTTTAACAATATTTCTAGATACACAGCACTGTTAAACATTTCTGTGCATCTGTATTGAAGTTATTTATCAAACTACATTCTTTTTTAGTAAAACAAACTTCACATTTTGTTGGTGTAAACCAACAAAAGCTTCATTTGTGACTTTTTAACCAAACAAATTGAAGACTAATTATGAGATTTTAATATGCAAACAAACTGTGCACCTTTACCACAAATATTTTGTCTGTATAAATATAAACCATTTTGCTTTAAGGATTACATGAATATGTTTTGCCAGGGTGTTATGGTTTTGGTATATATATTTAAACTGCATGTTTCAGAGAAAAACATAGCCTTTGAGCTTTGTTTATGGCATGAATGTGGTACTTCAAACCTTTGTGTACATCTAAACTTTAAAAATACTATTTCTTTATGTGGGACAGTCACAAACATGTATGCTTTAGTTACACTTGACTGTTTTCTCATTGCAGAATAGTTTAACTCACCATACATCAATTCGTTATTTTCAGCTTCTTCTTTAGCTCCTAAAATAGAAAGAATATAAAAATCATCTTTCGCCATGAATTGCATTGGTTTCAATTTACATCAATTGTTAACCTCCCCATTTTTTG